CCCTGATCGTGGGGTGGGTGGGGAGGAGGTGTGACCTTGGTGGAGAGGGCAGAAGGGGCAGCGGGAATGGAACTAGGAGGGGAGGACACGGCGGTGGCGGCATCAGCAGAGGAAGGGAGGTCGCCGAAGATGTCCTCGAAGGCCATGGTATCTGATACCAAGATAGACGGAGGAAATAGCTGTTATGAAATCATGTTGATTATGGACAGAAGTTACAGGGTACAAATAGCCTGATCACAACGACTCCCGCAATGAGAGGCACGCAGGCCAGTGCGGGGAGTGGACCTGGCGATCCTAAGGACTAGGAGATCGTTACAACACATTACAATGGCATACATACATGTAGATACATACACAGATACGTTAACACGGGGAAAGACGGCGATGCACTCCTGGAACGGAGCACCACCACGGTGCTCCCTTGGCTAAAGGTGGCAAGGTTCATCGCCGCCTTCTTGATGGTATCATTGACAGGCCACCCCCTCCGTTCCGCCCTCGAGTATTTCCGGCGGATGCTGTCAGCCTCCCACTCCGCAGCTGACATCCCATCTGGCCTCACCTTAGGGCATGTACAATGCATAGCCTCAAGGTGATGCCTCGCATGTCATGTAGGATCGGATATGACGTAAAGTAGGTTCGGATAGAGAAGCGGGATCCTTTTCAGAAGGCGGGTGCTTGAAGAGAAAAAATATGGTCCGATGATAAAAGCTGAAAAGGTTAAGTGAAAAGTAGAGATGCATGTGTACTAGTCTTTATTTTTTATTTCTTAATGAGGCCCACTAGTGATAGCTTGCATTGGAGAGAAAAAATTAATGTAGATGCCCCAAATTACTTTTTGTTATGAGGCATATGTATTCATATGCCACCATTGTACATGCCCTTAGGCACCAGCTTCTTGCGTGGCTTGGCATAGGTCGTCATTGTCGCCGCCTTTGGTCCCTTCGACAGCATGGCGGCGAGGGGGGCAAACGGTGTGCGTGGACGACGAGGGCGTGGGTTAGACAGGAAACAGGAGCATCGGGCGGGAGAAATGGAATGAAGAAAGGTAAAGTGAAGTAGATCTGTTGTGCCACTGCCAGGCCTGGCCCACCTATCGATATCCGACATGGCATCCCTGGCCACCTGTGTCCGACGCTCCCACAAGGCGCCATGTGGGTCATTTTTTTTGGCGGAATAGGGGCCATTTTTTAACATTGGTAATCAAATTTTCAGGTATAATAAACTTGGTACAGATGAATATCCAGTAGAATTTAATCATGCGAATTTTCATGAAAAATAGCACTCATATACCCGAGTAGAAACTCTGGTGAACTTTCTTGAAACAAAACACAATAATTTCCGACCTAACGCACACGAGGACCCAACGGTCCCATTGAAAGGCATAAATATTTACAGCAATGGGACATGCAGACATTTTGCAAAAAAAAAAAAAAATTGGGACATGCAGACGTGTCACGGTTTGTATTTCACAGTCCGGACTCAGATGGCTTCACATGTCTCAAATACTCGTGGCAAACTGACACCGGTATGGGCTGTAACGTCCAATCACCGCGCGGTCAGGTACTGTGCAAGGATTATCTTTGCTCCATAGCTCTACTGCCTGGGATGTCTAAACTTTTATCAGCACATGGGAAAATAACAATATGTGATCAAATTTATGTGGTTTGGGACCGTTACCTTCTACGTGGCTAATTGGATAAGTCGGCAATGCTAAGGTATGACTCTGACATTATCAAAACTATAAGTGAACTCCATCCTGTATATGACCTCGCGCCCTTCCCCTTGCCTCTGTTCTTCTGGTCATACTTCTCCCAGAAGAAGCCTGTCTCATGGTAATTATGCACAATATTCCTACAAAATGCGAGCAGACTATAAGAGATGTTACGCTTCAACTACTTTCAATCAGCATGCGAGAAGGAAAGATGGCTGTACCGAATCAGGTTCGATCTTAGTTCATCATACAGCTCACCTGCCCTGCCCATGTACGGGCCGTCCGCTGCAGTACAGGATGATGTTAAGATCAGCGTGCACGCAGTGAAGTTTACCAAAGTCTACATTACTTGTTTCACAGCAAGTGTCAAAGATTTTACCGTGTGAGTAGTGATGAAGTGCCGAAAGAATCATGTAGTTCATGTTTATCCAAATTGGACCTCTCCAAGACGGAGCAGCATGTGGCATATTACGCTTCATGTACATTGAACTGGACCATGGGTCAGCAAATTATAATTCAGAATCCAGTTGCCCGTTTAGCCGATAATAACATTACACAAGTATAATATGACTGGCCAGTTACGCTTTTTGACATAGATGTTCTGTAAGTTCCAAAGTTTGAGGTGCCTTCACCAAGAGAAATAAACAGTGACCTTTAGATGTATACCTTGTTCTAGAAAGTGACCGAATGCCATAATCCGTCCACAAGATAGACCTATCAGATATGATGTCCAGCTGCTTCTCAAGAACCCATGATTCCTGCAAAAAGTTAAATGGTGCTTATCACTCTGGTACAGTTCAGATGAGCGTCAGTATCACTAAGCTGGGATGGAGAATACTAAAAATGAGAAACAAGTAGATGGAAGTTAAGAGCTTACTGGTGGAATGGCCCCCATCATGAAGGGGAAAAGGCTGACATAACCAACATGGGGTACTAATTGCAGATGAGGCTGTAATGTCTCTCTTAAAAGTACCCGTCTCATGGCATACTTACCTTCTAATTCATACCATCTCAACCGAACCTTCAACAATGATCTTAAAATCAAAATCATCATGTCTGGTAAGTAATGACAAATTCAGAGGAAATGCAACACCAACCTTTTCTGTATGTTTACCATAATCAAAATAGCCACCACTTTTAACATCCAAGTGCATCTGTAAAGATGAGAAGACTTACAATAATGAATCTAACAAATAATAGCTTGAACACCTTCATGACATACATAAACTCAATGGCAGTTGATAAAAAGCATGTAGCAGATATTGCTATTTGAGTAAAAAAATAAGCACATATTATATCATGAATTTGAGCCTTTCGTGCAATACTTTATGGTCTTCTACTGGCATATGGAAACCATAATATTGGAATACTCCGCAGAAAATAGAAAGATCAGCATGTTTTTCTCCAATACTGCTCCCAAGATATTTTCTTATGTTACCCTTCAAATTTAGGCGGGAAGTAAAATAAAAAATACACACTGAAGTTCTCGATAGCATTAACCACCACCATTCAACAGCTTGTCTAGTTAAAATGGTTGCATACAAAAATTGTATCATATTTGTAATTATTAGCATTCCGTTGAATGCATTTATTCAAATCCAAAATATAATGCATCAACTTTTTTTCAAAAATAAATATCTGATTGATCAAAAAAAGATAGCATCCACAAATGAGAAGAAATTGTCAGAAATTCCAGAGAATTACCTTGTTAAGGGTCCCAAAATCCGAAAGTTGAATTGACAGATTATAGTAATCCTGTAGAAGTTCAATAAAATGTTTCAAGAAGAGACACTCGGAGAATGGTTAAGGCAAAGCTACAAGTTATGTTTATACAGTACCTTCTCAAGATAGGTGTCCATTTTAAGCAATTCTGCAATTAACCGCATACATTTTGTAGCAAGAAGCATCCAACATCGAAGATCAACATGGCGTTCATCATCATTAGGGTGAGACGCACGAGGATAGTCATCCAAACCAGATGTCGATGTCTGTACAACACTAAGTGTGATCATGCTGCTTCAGTAATGTAGAGAAGGCAAGGGAAGAAACTCGATTCTCAACAGCTAAAGCTTTTATCAAATTAATAAGCAATAGTGGGAGCAAGCAACTAAGAACTGTTCCAAAACCTTTGGGTTCAACTCCCGTATCGTTATACTATCTCTTCCATGCCAAAAAAAAGTCCCTTCATACTTCCCTAGAAACAAATTTTCCAGGTAAAAAAAAAAATCAATGAGAAACAGATAGGCAATCTGGACATGACAAGTAGAAACATAATGGGTTAGCTTCTGATGTAGAAGATCGACAGAAAAGACGATTTTATCAGCTGTGTTAGCTGTTTTCACTTCTGGCCTAGCTTTGGTTACTTTCTCGGAATTGTGCCAATTTGCTTACTGCAATTAGAGTGCGCCTTTGGTCAGATGATTATAGATCTAATCATATCAGCTTGCTGATTCAGCATGTTCAAGCATTTTCTGAACAGTCCCCATGCGTGCCAGAACAAAAATAGATTATATCCATTTGCAAAGCCACCTATGGTTAGTCAATCTTAAGAGTAAATAAAGAATATAAAACAAGGGAACAGCAAACCTCACCAGATTGTCTACTGTTGAACCACTGAAAACAAGAATTCAGCCGTACATAAGCCCTTTCAAGGAAAGTGGAAATTTTTTCAGCTTCCTCACCCGAAAACTGGTTTGCACGCATGCCACTTGCCATGTCTGAGATGAGAAATTAAAAAACATGATTCAATTCACAGAATTGAAAGCACTTAATCACAATTGTTCATTGCCCAGATCAAAACATTAACAAAAGCTTTTGATGCTTGGCCAATGCGAATAAGTCTCTCAGCACATAATTTTATACGCATGCGCCAAAGCAACTAATGTCACAAAATCTGTAGAACTTCTAAGCCATGTTTTCACTTGCATGAGTATTATTTTATATGCGCTGGATATCTGAAGTAGGAGGGTTATCGGGGAACAGGCCAGTGGCCAACTGATGGTAGGAAAGTTGTTTAACCTCCAAAACTACCCAAGTTCAAGTCCCAGGAGGAAGGCGCATATCTGGCCATCTCATTCTTTAATGAATCCTAAGGAGCTCCTTGCTCATTTTTCCTAATTAAAAGAAGATTGACAAAGATGGGGAATTTTTATTTGTATCCTGATTATATTTCAACATTTGTCATTTAGAAGCATGCAAGTTGCAAAACTAAACAGCAAATCTAGGAAAGAATTTAGATATCACAATTCTAAACACAAATGAAAAAGCAAGGGAGGAACTAATGCCCTACCATGTATCGCAAGAAATAAGGTCAGAGGGTTTCCATTGGAAGGGTCCTGCAGAACAAACTTCTCGGGTACTAGGCTGCATGAAGCCAAAACTAGATGTAAGGAATTGAGAAATCAGTAGCTATGAGCATAGTTATTTGTTTTTAGTGGACACTAACCTTAATGATTCAGCTCCTAAGATTTGGTCTGTTGGAATCCATCCATCTGCATTAATTAGATCTAACCAATGACCAATTATATCCATGGATATCTGAGCATCCCAGCGCCTGTAAATCGGTGCATGTTAATAATAAACAGAAACCAATAGCATGAAAGCAAAAATGTCCGGATAAAGAAATGGTGTAGCACACATGATGCATCAAAGATTATGAATTGATCAAATGCTTACCAAATGACTAACTGATGGAAGCCCTCGTGCCACAGGAATCCCCTAGGGAAGAATGAGCGACTTGGGACGGCTGTATATAGCGCTGCAGGCCAATATGGAATATGTTTATCGCCATATTTTTGCTGCAATGGAAATGCTTCAAACATTATATTTTTTGGTGATATGCAATAACTTAGAATTTCTATCTGGCCTACTAACAGATTGAACACAGTTCTAATGAGAAAAATAAACTACACAGGAGTTCCAGTATGAGCAGATCAATACACAGAGTAATGCGGCCAACACCCCTGAGGAAAAGGGAAGAGATAAGATTATGAGATGAATCCCAAACTTACAATGAAACTTTTTGGGAATGCAATTTTTGACTGCCCGAAGAAGTAGCCGATACCACCAAGAAGACTTGACAAGGCGACTCTACCAACAGATAGTTCTTTGGATAGGATCTGCATCAGAGCAACAATACATCAACATACATCCATGACGTCCTTTCTAGTCAAGATTTATCTACTTCCTAGAACACTACTTATCTCCCTAGCAAGAGATCAATTTGCATTTAGAGTGTCCTGCAACTGCCAACCACACAAACACTAGCAAAAATGAACCAGCCTATCATGTACACACACGAAAGCAAATGCAGATTTGATTAGGAAAATTATATATATATATATATATATATATATATATATATAGTTGAGACACGCCAGTGCAAAAAAAGAGATTGCGGAAATCACAAAGTCACAAAGCTCATCCAATGAGCTGCATGGTGGCACCTTATTATTGACATTGAAAATGTGATTGTATCTCTCTTCAAAATGCTTCTGTTTTGATTCAAGGCGCATGCTCAGCATGGGACCTAAAAATGTGAAGTCAGTACTAATATAACAACTAACAAACAATGAAACAATGACTTCAAAATTCCTAAATTTCAGGTTAAACAGAAACCAAACATGCAGGTAAAAAGGGGTAAGAATTCAACACCACAACCCCTTCTGAACCTGTACCTTACCGCCCCTCCGGTATCTTCCAACAAAGACCAAACTGCAAGCCAAGAGAGCAAGAGGAACAGAATAGCAGTTCTTCAACAGTGTATATGCATTCATAGGAGCAGCGATTTGTTCTCTCATTCTATCCTTGTCAGCTGCATGCATTAGTTCTTTGTTACCTCCACAGGAAGACTAGCATTGTCATGCCCTTGTCTTCAAGTACGCAATTGCACACCACTATCCTGGGAGGTTAGTATGCTGACGAATTTTCTTTTTAATTGGTTTATTTTTTAGTAAATACCAAGGTAAACTTCATTCCTACAATTTTGCCATATTGTTGCAACAGTGTGTGTTCCTTTTAACAAATGAAACACAGTTTTAGAATCAACATCTAACTTCTGTTTTGCAGGCATTCAAACACACTGTCAGAACTCGAAACAGCTGGTGAAAGATTTCAGCAACTTAATTGGTACACGTCCTGGAAACAGCCTCTTACAGAAATGTAGGGAAAGGCTGCGTACAATAGACCCAAAGTGGTCGGACCCTTCCCCAGACCCTGCGCAAGATGGAGCTACATGCACCGGGGTGCCCTTTTAATTGGTACACGTCCTCGATGTACATTGCATAACGGAACCCTTGTGTTTGTGTACTAGGTAATATGCACTCAGTGAGCAGTTTTTGTGAAATAATTTGAAACCATATGATTATGTCTTGTATTGCGATGACCCTCGTGGAGTATATATGTAGACTATGTAGTACATGTGAGGAATAGATACTTCAAGTACAACGCAAGTTTTGTAAGATTTAAACGATTTTATGATATTATGTGGCTATCTTTTCTATATACATGAATGTTCTCGTTCATTTTTAGTTTACACCTGGACATTTGCGACGATAAAAAATAAAAATGACATGGCAACGCATGGGCGTTCAGCTAGTGCGTTCAAAATTCCTAGATTTCAGGTTAAACAGAAACCAAACATGCAGGTAAAAAGAGGCATGATATCTATGCAAGGAAACAAAAACGAAGCCAAGAGCACATGTTTCCTCCTTCAAAATGTTCGGTGCATGCATATCATGGATGATAGACATGAATCCCATGTGAACAGATCATATCTCTACAGATTATGCACTATGCAGCAAACTCACCTGTCAGCCTTTTAACACGCTCTGCAATCATTGAATTGTCTAAGCCAGCTCCTGACAAGAACACTATGTCTATTATGGCAGGAAGTTTTATGGAAACCTGTAAAAACACAGAGAAAACATAAATAAAGCACCTGGTGTATGTTGACCTATTCTAGGGTTCACAGTTGATACATATATAAGGTTGTATGATTGTGAATTCATATTGATGTAATACATGTTGTCTCCTTTGAAGTACCTGATAGATCATTATATTTGAAGAGTCTTCAATCATGTCTGGTAGGTTAAGGTTCCCAGTTTGCATTTCCTAGAAAGATCCAAAGAATCAGCTAAATGCATTGCAAAACACTACTTCAGAACATAATACAGAGATGCGCAAGTTTCTAAAACTTGTATTCCAATAATATGGTAAACAAAAAGAGTTAAGACGGTACATTTTTCCTTAGTGTTTGCTCAACAAGATCAGTTAGTTCATGCATGTTGATCGACTGGAACCCAGCTCTGTGAATTTCCACATTGTCCTGTGAGAAAAGAGTTCATATGTGACAACATAAATATCAACCATGGGTCATTATATCGCCACACTAATAGTAAGAAATACCAAACGAAAGCTAAAGTTATGAGTATCAGAATGTATACCTTAGATCCCAAATGGAGCTCCCAGCCACCAATATCGTCATGTAACCCAAACGCCAAAAGAGCATGACCACTTAAATAAGTCTCATGTGAGCCCACAGTGATCAAATTTCTATCTTCGTCGGCAATATAGAAGAATAGATGTGTTGCGCTTTGTTGGGCTTCACTTAAACTTGACCTAAATTAATTATAAAGGCGAGATGAATTTCTTTTGGTTCCTTATACAATGTTCAGGTAGCAAGCAAAGCAATAACAGATGATATCTTTCTCATGCTTGACACTAAATAATTCTACAAACTACTTTGTTTAAAACATGATTTCTTTCAGTTTGCAACAGATGAATACCTCTTGTCCTGTGCGTCCAGTCGAACAACCCAATCTCCACCGTAGCCACTTCCCTCTCCTTTCTCTTTGAGGAAGCTAGTGGTCAAACGTAAAGCATGATCAATCAACTCTTGACGTCCATAGTCCCTGCCATTGTGAGCCTCCCACCCATGCTTGATAAGCTTATCAAAATCTTGGCAAGTGTGACGAAGAGAATATTGTCCATTTCTCATGTCAAGCCACATCAACCCAGCTAAGAGAGATCGTGGGGTTCTGTAATATAAATTGCAGCGGCATGATTTTTCACAGGCTTGGCAGTACATAATCAACATAATAAACAATAAAATAGCAAGCTGAACCAGTAGCAAAAAGAGTACACCACACCTCCACATGCGTACTAACCAAATGAGAGAACAAAACATATATGTGTGCCTAATGTTCTTTTTTTAGGGAAGTGTGCCAAATGTTCGTCAGATGAATTGGCATAGATATTCCAAGATGACTAAGAGAGAGAATCATCATAACTAGAATTGTAAAAAGGGCAAGAGAAAAGAGATGGGTGAAGTGAAGCACCTAGCACGAATTCCCAGATATAAGTTCGGCCTGTAAGTTCCCCAATACAAGCTCTCCTGATGTTCGCCTTGGAACTGCATACAGACAATACTAAGCATCACTGCATCAGGAATATAATCTGTATGGTACCAAAACATACAATAAAATGGAGCCTTACATCACATATAAACCATCCAGAACTGGGTAAATTTCACTAGCGCTTAACAATTGCTTCGCTGGAGCTCTGAGAAAGCATATAATTGTAGTTTGTTGCACTATTGTAATTGCATGTTTAGCCCCAGTTCATCTAAGCCAGATATGTCAACCTGCTGTTCAAATGTAGAATAGTGGTGGCCCATTCCCTTATTGTTCTAAAGTCCACTACGCACTGCTTAGCAAAGCATGAATAATACTATAATAACTTAAATAATGACAACACCTAACGGAGCAATTAGGATGTTTCTATCATAGCAAGTGTTGATAGGAATGACGGCAGGGACTACGTATCGTCACCTGAGGAAGATCCATCATCAGGGGCGCATCAAGTGGCGTCACTGAGCGTTCCATCCCGCGCTTCGCCAAACGAAACTCCACATACGGCCATGAGAAGTATACCAGGAAGCTGATGAAGGTCACCCAGAGAAGCAGGGTCCCGGGGCTTGCGGGCATGAAGCGCGTCAAGGGTGCGGGAAGCTGATGCCACCAACTGCGCCGACCGCGCCGCGCTGCCGCGGCGGCGGTCGCGGCGGGCCGGGGCGCGCCCGGTTCAGGGTCCCCGTGGCTCCTGGGGGGACGCCGTGTGGCGCCACCTCTGGCCATCTGAGAAGCCCGGCGATCTCCCCGTTTCTGGGATGGAGGCGCGCGTCGATGGAAGAGGCTGCGGCGCGTGCGGCGTCCAGGGGAGAGAGGGAGGGGGGCGGGCGGCGCTCAACCAGGACCGACGGAGCAGCTCGCGAGCTCCATGGCGGCGATGCGGAGC